TTCCATTTCCTTCTTAAAGTTGTGTCAGGAGCTCAAAGCTTTCCTACAATTTAGTGACCAAGATAGGATAAAGCCATAAGGAAGAATTAGTGATCTGCTCACAATTCTAGAAGCTTCTGTGTTCAACGAGGGCAAACAAGACCAATAAAGGCATAAAGCTATAAAAGCATTATTATTGGGCTGGGGCAGATTCTAATAGGCAACTTTCTCCCCTCCCTCTGTCTTTCTGATCTGCAGGTAAGGAGAGAGAGTAATGGGATGGCTGTAATTTGGAGGCAGTACTGGCTAATAAGCAATCAGTCTGAGACTGTACTTAGTAACATGAAGTTCAGAGATACAGGCAATGCAGGGCATTCTCAGGTCAACACAGGCTGTCATGGTAAGTCAGGGTCTTAGGGCTGACAGTTCTTAGATTTTTTTTTCTCTAATTATCTTTGTGTACTTTGACTAGCCCTTCCTCAATTCCTCCTATCCCAACTTCACTCTCAGCTTCCGTGAAGAAGGATCTTTTGCTCTCTGCTCCTATGAGTTTGACATTTTAAGTTTCTGTATTTGTCTCCTTGTGCATGGCTTACTTAACATACTGTCTTCCAGGTTCATCCATGTTGTGACGACAAGATTTCCTTCTTTTGTAATGCTGAATAATATTCCACATCCTCTTCCTTCTAACTCCATTCCACCCCCACACTAGCTCTTCTCTAGCTGCCATTTTTTTTGTCCCTATCTCAGTCAGGCTCATCATTGGCACTTTCCCCACAAACCTGAACACCCTCCTCAGCATAAACGTGTCCTTTTTACATGACAGAGTTAGCTCAACAAAAAGCATTAGTTGGGCATGTCCGGTCCCAAGATAAACTCAGCCCATTAGCAAGTTCTTTGAACGCCTCTCTTTCAGCATCCAGTGGAGTTTAAGGGTTCACTCAAGGACAGCAACCACACAGCAGCATTTAAATGACATGCTACCAACCTTAAAATAAGTCTGAAATGAATTCCTCAAAGAAAGGTCTTAAAAAGTGTCAAATAAAATAGGTCCCTGACAGGCAAAGTCTTCACTGAAGCTTTTTCTTCTTATAACACAGCTCCTGGACCCGATTCTTGTCATTGACAAGATGTGAGAATGTGAGCATGATATCAGAACTCAAGGCGGTGGAGGACAGGAAGCTAAAGAGCAGGGGGGGGGGGCGGGGGGGAGGGAGGAGGGGAGCGGTGGGGAGACAAAAGAGCACACAGCAGGGACCCACTGTTCCCATTCCCAGAGGAAGGCTTTTCCCTAAGGGTCTCCGCTGTCTAACAAACATAAGCCACTGCTAGCCAGACACTGTGTCTTAGAGAAATTGAAAGATGGAGGCTGCCCTGTACTCTGGGAAAAGACAGACATTTAAAGGAGTATTTTGAGATGGCAGATGGTCCACATGGCACAGCTTGCTCTCCACTCAGGCCAATGGCCCTGCTCCTCCCTTTGCTGAAGCCCTCAGATCTGTCATCTTTCTCATCTTGGCACTGTCCCCTCCCTCACATTGTTGACACATTCCTAGTCTCTATCCTATTCCTCTGCTGTACCTTATTTCACAGTACACATGACTATGTAAAAGTGTTTGTTTCTGTTTAAAGCTTACGCTAAACTCCACATGTAGAAATTGCTTCTATTTTATTCCAAGTTGCTCACTCTGAGTCTAGAAGAGTGTTGGAGGATTCATTCATTCATCAATCCATAACTGATTTGGGTCCTTGGACAGTTGGGCTCTTTGGGCAACGAAGACTCTTTTCTCATAAAGACTAATGGTCTGGTTGAACAATGACACTAATCTTTATCCAGTGGTTTCTACAGATAAGTTTCATGACATTGAACCATCACAAAACCCTATGAGACAGGGATAGTTGTAATCCCATTCTACAAGTGAGGAACCCTATGTGCAGAGAGGTCACGAGAGCACAAAGCTAGTGTGGTTCATGGCAGAGTTAACATTCATATCCAGGGAGTCATATTCTACAGTTAAAAGTCAGCTATGATGCCTTTGTACAAATATAGAGCAAGGATCCAGTAAGATTTTGTTGATGTTGAACTAACAACACCATGATGGAGCAGGAGAAAGCCAGGTCTCACAGAGAATACGACTTAAGAATTCCAAGGGAAGGTGTGTGTGTGTGTGTGTGTGTGTGTGTGTGTGTGTGTGTGTGTGTGTGTGTGCAGGAGGCATTCTGGGCAGAAGACACAGCATCTCCAAAGGCATGCAGAACAACAGCTGTATATTGTGGTGGGAGCATAAGGAGTTACACTGTGAAGACCCTCCTATTGCCAGAGTGGCAGTTAGAACTTAGCCATGGAAGTACTAGTAAGTGAGACTTGAAGTAGCGGAAGTAAAAACTCTGAAGGGAAGAACATGGTACCCAAATATATCAGTCAAAAAATGGTACCCAACTAAGTGGGTTTCCAAGGAACTCAGATTTGAAGGACTGTAAACAAAAGGTCTGAGAATTGGGATACAAGAGCAGCATCTTCCATCATGATTTTATGTCATGCCTCATCATCTATATCTTGATTCTTTTTTTAATTAAACTGAATTGTCAAGTTTTCCCCTTCCAGTTAGCCAGGGACCTTAATGGATTCTACTGGCACTCAGTTCACAGTGACAGCTCCAAGATTTGAGATTATTAGCTCATTATCTCTCTAACAGATTTTCAAGCAGATGGCTTTGCCTTCTATTGCAGAGGTACAGACTCAAGTAGGACAAGCTCTCTATAGAAGGCATTAAATGGTAATTTCAGTGGAGAAAGGCAACACCAGGAGGTGCTCCAAGGATCTAGGGAAAGGCTCGACAATTTGTGCCATGTATACATACTTCCTTCATCATAAAGGCCATATTTGCTCTGTGTATCCCTAGCTATGCACAGCTGAGTTGGCTAGCTGCTCAATAAATATTAAGTTTAATGAGACCAAAGGAGCAGAATGCACATGGCCTATTTTACTGGGGCTGAGTTCTGCAATAAACACCTTCTCCTCCTGAATACAAACACAACACAAGTTTCTTTTGAAGAAAGAAATGTCTAGAGCAAGTAAGGAAATACATTTTTATTCTCTGTAAAGACACAGTACTGAATGGCATTCAAGGAAGTGTCACTCTGCCCATCTTGTGTCTGTCATTGTCAAACTACACCCAGGACCCAAAAAGAGTAAGCAAGGAGATTGGTTTCCCTCCTCATCCTTTCTTGTCCACCTTGGAAAGTGCTCTGGCAGCTCTCTATCCTCTCCGGCTCTCTATGGCATGCTTCTATTACAATCCTAGAAGCCAGACCTGGTGCTTGTCAGGGTGGGGCTAAGAGAAGCAAGACCAAGTTGCATCACAGGATCCACTTTTAGATGCTATTTCTCACCATCTTCCTGAGCAAAAAGATAAAGCCAGGCTGTACCCTTCAAGAAGTTTACAGCCTGGAGAGGAACTGCAGAGTTGGGCATCACTGGCAGTGAGGCCAACTAGATCTGTTCATCAATCATATTTCCTCATTATATTGTGTGAGTGTTGAGAGAAGAAAGTAGCAGGAGAGAAAAGGATAAAAATTTACCCCCCCCAAAAAGGGAGAAGACAGAAAAACAGAGGTGGATAACTTGGGAGAAGGAAGAAAAGTGTATGAGAGGGTAATGATGAGGCTAACTATAATAAAATACATTTATAAAAAGTATAAAATAGCCATCATTTTATACAATTAAAATACACTAATAAAAATAAAAAAAATAAACTAATCACAGATGAGGAAGTAAAAACACTAGGTTGCTCTAGTAGGCAAAGATCCTTGACTCTGAGACTATGGGAAAGAAATTCCCCCTTTGGATGTTTATTGGAAACTCTTAATAATTTGGAACAAATTTTTTAACATGCATTTCCCTTCATGACATGACTCTCATGCAAGAATCAAAGGAACAGGGCTGCTTTTGTTGGAAACAGGGGTATTTGGGCTGGGATTTTCTAAATTTGAGGTGATAATACCACAAGTGGGTAACTGTGAATTACATCACCTAAGGCTTTAATGGCGAACTTTGGAGTGAATGGCACACAGCCTATTCACATATGGATTTCTGGGAAAAGCTATAAAGAAAGAGTTGGTACTTGGAAAGTCTGAACTGTGTTCAAGAAGCAACAGCTGACTTGCCTCTCCTCCCTTCCTACCTTGGCTGGAGTCAGGACAGCAGCTGCCAGCGCTGGGCTCTAACTTTCCCTCCAAACGACTACTCACAGAAAAATGTTATTTCAGGCACTAGAGTTAGAGTTTCTGATTTTTTTGGTCTCAACCTCAGACTTTATTTTTTCCTATTTCTTAAGTTTGGATTAGTGTGGAATACAATAGACAACCATAACGACAAAGGCATTCCTGTTGAACCTTGCATCCTGTGGACAAATTGTGAAAACAAAACAAAACAAAACAAAAACCCCGAAGCCCAAGAAGAAAAAAAAAAAAAAAACATGGTCAGAGAACTCACAACATCAAAGCTTCTGTGTTTCTTTTTATCTCTAAGTATGATGGTCTAGCTAGGTTACTGTTCGATAACTGTACTGTAAACTCCAGTACATGAATATTAATATGAACTCTAACTTAAAAATTCTTATATTCTAGTTACTAAATCAACTTCCTGAAAGTCCTTACTGTGTTTCTCTCTGCTAACCCCTTCTACCCACCTCTCTGCACACACCCAAGAGTATAGAGGCTTTCCAGAATTGCCCTGCCAGCTCTGAGCTGGGTGAATTGTGTGGACAGAGGAGCCCGAGGTCTCGGAAAATCTTTTCTATATTTACACCCGTTACTGCGATTTTTCACTTTCTTGGCACACACAATAAACTCCAAATAAAACCATCCAAAGAGAGCCTGGAGGCGTTTCCCTTGGCTCGGGACTCCGGGCGGGCGACTGTCAACTCCTCCCTCCCGCGGATCTCCAGGGATGCTCTGCAGCGGGGGTGGGTGGGGTAGGGGTGGGAGGAGGGAGTGGCGGGGTATGCGCCGGTGCCCACCTTGCTCGCAGGTGCCCTTGCTGACCTGGGTGATGGCCTTCTCCCCGCGGCTTTCGGCACGCAGGCTGGCGGCACGTAGCTGGCAGCCGCTGGGGTAGGTGGTACCGTCGCTGCCGCACACCGGGTAGCGGCTCTTGCACACGCACACGGCGAGGACCGCTGGGCCGCCGGCTGCTGCCCCGGCTTTACCCTTCCGCCTCTTGCGGCTCTTCACGCACTCCATGCCCGGCGCGCAGTGCCCCCTGCCGGCCGCGCCGCCCCCGCACGGCTCGCCCTCGCCGCGAGCGCACACCGGGCAGCAGCCGCACTCATCGCGGGTCTCTCCCAGCGGGCAGCCCAGCGGGGGCAGCGCGGGGCACGAGGCCGGCACGCACGGGCCGCAGGCATCCGAAGAGGAGGAAGAGGAGAGGGGTAGGAGCAGGAGCAGCAGTCCGGCTGCGCCGAGCAGCAGGGCGCGCGGTAGCCGCTCCATGGCCGGGTGGCTGGATGCGAGCGCGTGAGTGAGCAGCGGGGGCCCCCACCGCCATCCCTTAAAGCCACCGCCCCGCCCGGCGCGCCACGGGAGCCCTCCCCGGGGCGGAGAGTCTACCCGCTGCCCGCCCCGCTCCGCCTGCCCGCCCGCTTGCCCGCGCTCCTGCCGCCGGCCACAGCCACTGTGGGCATCTTTCTGGCCGGCCTGTCCCGTGCCCAACATGCGGGTGCCCAACATGCGGGCCGGCTGGCTCCCGCTCAGCCCCCTGCCCCTGTCCTCATTCTCCATAAAGGGGCACGCCTCTGGCACCCTCTGTTCCTTGCTTTCTAGACCCAACTATTTTTACTTTTTTTTTTTTTTTTTTTTTTTTTTTTTTTTTAACAATTAGGACTTTATGAGAACTCGCTGTTTAAGTTTAATCCATTAAACCTTGTGGGCCTGAGAAACCTGAGTACTTTGTGGTTTACGCTTTTAAGGACAAACCACAAAGGGAGTGGGGCTTGTGTCCTCTTTGGCCCCAGGGCCTGTGTAGTTTTGGATGTCTTGTTTCTCTTTTTGGATCCTCATAATCTTCCCCCTTTCTCATATCACACATAACCCTGTGCTATCTCATGCCAAGTCAAGTTTAAAGTTCTTTTAAAAAGTTTTGTTATAGATTTACTTATCTTTGTTTTATGTGTATGGATGTACAAGTGTATCATATATATGTATGCCTGGTGCCTGAAGGGGCCAGAAGATCTGATACTCTGTTGCTGGAGTTACAGACAGTTGTGAACTGCCATGTGGGTGCTGGGACTCAAACTCAGGTATGGGATCTAGGTGACCAAAGCAAATGCACCCAGTGACAGCATGCCAGGCGGTACCACACGGTGCAGAAGTGAAGTGATGGGCGTGGCTCTTGTTCTGGAGGTCCTGCCTAGGCCTTGTCACATCCCAGAATCTGTAGGGTTGCTATGTGAAAGCACAAAGTCTCCGAACCATCAGCAAGGTATGCGTCTTTCCGGCACTACTTTACACATATTAAATACTTAATAAAGAGAGATGAGAACCTCTTTCCACCTGGAAAAGGGGCTACTGATTTTTGGCTTCTCTTTAGCACATTCTAGAAGAGTGGCATGTTTTTAGAAGGCCAGATACTGACATGACAGTTTAAAAACCAAGGGACGTTTTCAAAAGAGTTTTCCTTCATATGCTTGCTTTTGTTCCACGACATGAGTTTATTAGTAAAATGATCTTAATCAGACCACATATGGGGTGCAGGCTGTTTCTTGTTGTTTCAGCATTATTAACCTTTTGCTACAGATCTCAAGTTGATTTCACAATCCATTATGACTATTGGTTATGGCCCGAGGGTCCACAGAAATCAAAGTCACCCCTGAGACAAGGATGTGAAGGAAAATAGTTTACTTGAAAGGCCACATAAAGACATAACTTCTAGAGGTATGACAGGTAGGAAGTGAGCAGGAACGGAAGATGGTCATAAAGATATGTATCCTGGTGGCGCGCGCGCGCGCGTGCATGTGTGCGTGTGTGCGTGCGTGTGTTTGTGTGTGTGTGTGTGTGTGAGCAGTTGTGAGAACAGCCACAGGGCTATGGGGTTGCTCCCAGTGAGTGAAAACCCCTCCCTCATCAGAGGTGACAGTGAGAACTCAAGCATATTCATCAGTAAACTCCCTTCCAGGACCCTTTCTGCTCAGCCAGAAAAATGGCAAACAGGTCACGTGTTGTGAAGCAGAGAGACTTGGTTATGTAGAGAAAGGAGGAAAGAAAGGAAACAGGTAACACTCTCTTTCCAAGTGAGAGGCTCAGTTTTAGTGAAACGAAGACCCTGGATGTGGACACTGGATTAAGTCACAGGAAACAGATGAATTTGTTCCTTCTGTTTAATATGACGTCCTTTATTTTCTTTTCTTGCCCTGGCCAGTGGCTGCCACCTGTGTTGAGGAGAAGTGGGAAGAGTGGACATCTGTGTCCAGGCTCAACCTTAGAAGGGAAGTTTTCCTCTTTCTCCACTGAGAATGAAGTTAGCTGCAGGTTTTTCACAGATGGTTTATCAGGTTGAGAAAATCCCTTCCATTTCCCATTAGATAAACATTATTAGGACGTGATGCTGGGTTTTGTCAAATGCCTTTTCCAAGTCTATTGAGATAGTAACTAAAAATGCCCTTTATTCTTTCAGCATGGTTTGTTACACTGATTTATATTTTATTTTTGAATATTGAGACCATATTTACATTCCTAGGATAAATCCTACTCCATCATAGTGTGAAATCATTTTTGTGTGTTTCTGGAATTTATTCATAAGTATTTTTTTATTGTCTTTGTATCACTACCCATAAGAGATACTGGTTTCATCTCATGACTTTGGTTTTGTTATTATGGTAATAGTGGTACCACATAATGAGGTAGGAAGTGTTTACACATCTTCATTTCAGGGTTTGATTTCTGAATAATTAATAATAAACCTTTGGTACCCCTTCTGAGTGGGATGTTTTCAATTACTAATTGTTGTCTCCTCCTCATCCGTCTTCTCCTTCCTCCTCCTTTTCTCCTTCCTTCTCCTTCCTTCTTCATTTCCCTTTTACTTCTCTTCTTCCTCTTTCCCCTTCTCTTATGATAGGCCTATATAGTCTGCTAGGGTTGCTATAACAAAGAACCACAGACTGGATGGCTTAAACAATAGAAATTAATTTCTCCACACTTCCTGAGTCTAGAAATCCAAGCCAAGGACTAGCAGGGTGGAGACCTATATGAGAAGGCCCTGCTCCAGGCTTCTCTCTGGCTTTCATATGGCTACTCTCTATCTAGCTGTTTACAGCTTTTTGTGCATGTGCAGCTTTGACGCTGACTTAAGAAGAAATAGAAAATCGAAATTGATCTATTGTTGGTTGAGTTGTGTCTCTTACTTCCTCTAACTTGTCTGGGGAAGCCCTAATCCCCAACTCCTCAAATATGACTGCATTTGGAGATGGATACTTAAAGATCTCAAGGTCTTTAGGATGGGGTCCTGATCCAATATGCACCATTAGAAACCACTGAAGGAGAAAGGAGGAGACCCTGGGGTGTCATTCTCACAGAGAAAAGGCCAGTGACGGTGTAGTGAGAACCCAGTCATCTGAGGACCAAGGAGAAAGGTATCAGAGAGGCACACCTACTGTGCCATGATCTTAGCTCAACAGAATACATATCTGACGCAAGCCATGCAGTCTGGTACTTAGTTATAACAGTTCTAGTTAGTCAGCATACCCAGGCCATTACCATCTGCTCTGGTGACATTGGGGAGTCAGAAACAAGAGTCTGTTCTTTCTCCTCCATTCCCCCTTTCTCGCTCCTAATTTTTTGTTCTGTGCTCGCAAGGCTAGGACTGAGAAGGCTGGAGAGAGAGAGAGAGGAGGAAGTGCCTGTCTCTATAAACCCGGCTGCTCGTAACAGTCCTTTCATTATCGCCATTGATTCTATGGTCATTCCGAGTACTCATGGATAAGTGATATGAGGCCAGTCTCCAAAGACTGGCTCTCTTGTAGTGCCCAGGTATTGATTCCTTGAAGGGCCTTGTGGTGTTTCTCCACTGTTCACTGGCACACGGAGAAAGGACAAAAGCAGCTGATGTTCAGGAACTGAGCCAATCTCATAGCTAGTCCCGAGTGTTTTCACAAGTTGACCTGACATCAGCGGCCAGGGCTCGGTGTTATTAGAAGCCCAGCTGATGCTTGCAGCTGAGCCACACTGTTGTCCTGTGGGGCATCAACAGTCTCACAGATCATCCGCTTTAGACAAGGTCATCATGTCACCCAGAAATACCAGGCACTGCCTCCATGCTAAGCATGGCTACTTTGCAAATTACAGCTCTATCTTGCTGCCATCCATCTTTCCTCTAGATAGGACATACTCCCTTTTATTCCTGGAGGAGACTTCCCAAATGGGTTCTTGGAAGCTTAGATGGTACCAAACAATACATGCTATGTTTTTTCCCTAAATATGCATGCAAACGTCTGATAAAATTTAACTCGTAAGCCAGTCACACTAAGAGATTAGGAACCATGATAATTAAAATAGAACAATTACAGCAATATATTGCAGTTAACTTATTGAAAACATACATGCTGTTTACTTGTGAAATTTTCCATTTAGTATTTTCAGACTTGGTTGGTTGTAGGTAACCAAAATGGGGAAAGGAGAACTTCCGCTGAAGAGGGGCAGCTGCTCACAGAACTGTCCTGTTTCCTGACAGCCATGTCCTGCCTCCTTTCCCTCAGCCCAAGTCAAGCTCTCTAACAAGTTCCTCCTGACATTCTTTCCCTGGAACCTCGTGGTTCCATGTAGTATCTGCTCTCTTGTGGTAAGTGACAAGCTTGACTTACTCAACCATAGTTGTGTTCCTGTTGATAATTGAAGGCCAATGACATATGGATGCTTTGCCCTCCAGTCTCATCTTTTACCCTATGTCAGATCATTTTTAACCCACCCAACCCATAATACACTCTAGAACTCTTTGCTGGTGGACCTTTGATGAGCTGCTGCTGCCTCTTCCTCCTTTTTTCTCTTCTTACCCCTCCTTTGCTTCCCCTTCTTCTTACCCTTTCTCTGCCTCCCCCTCTTCTGCCTCCTTTTTTCTCTCCTCTGTGTCCTTTCCCTCCTTCTCTTTATCTTTTTTTCTTCCTCTTTTTTGAGATAGCTGGCATGCAGTCTAGCCTGGAATTCTCTGTGTAGCCCAGGGTGGTCTTGAACTCATGGTCCTTCTAGAGTTAGCACAGGCATGTGCCCCCATGTCTGGCTTATGAATTATTTATTTTTTTCTTGTGGCATCTCCCACAGTTTTCAGCCCAGCACTCTTCAGGGCATATTTGGGAAATATTGGCACCATGCACCCTGCCTCTGCTACACCCTCTTTCGAGCCTGCACATAGTAGACACAGGTCTGTTCTCTGATAGAGTCTAACCTGAGAATGGGATATTTGACTCCTTTTCTTACAGGAATTGTGAATCTCACACCTCATGTCTTCTTGTTTGGCTTTTGGGGGCTTGCAAAAATGAGAAAAG